GTAAAAATTGGCCAAAAATGGCAACAATGGACCCTAAGGCCCCCTACAATCAAGCGGAAGCCATTTTAATGGCCAAAAATAAAAAGTACGGAAAAAATACATAGGGGGTACCCGCATGAAGTATGACTAAAGGTCGAAAAACATTCAGAGGAGCTACCTCAATTATTAGGAAGGCCGCAAAATATGACACCCGGGTCAATTTTCACATCATGGGAATCCAGGTATAATTATGCTTTTTTGATCTGTGGTATAGATGGGTAGGAGCTGTTACGTACGTCAATATGAAAATGTTGCCCTTGTTTCTTGAACTTTAGGCGGGGTGATTTATCAAATTTTTGCCATATTTAGCTTTTTGAGAGAAGGCTATATTTAGAAGAATGTTCACGCAAACTGCCTTTCAAATTTTTTTTCCGTTCGATAGATATGGAACTTCACAGTTTCACACTTGTCAACGCTGCTGCGCGGAAAAAAAATTCGTTTTAGGCCTCGACATGTTGCAGAAGGGCGTATCCAACATGGTTGAATAACATCATAGAAATTGTTTCAAATCCGAGCCGACATTTTTGCCGGTTTTGAATAAACCCTTTTTCAGCTTAAATTCTCTGAGAATTGACAACTACACACGCAATAAATTTTTAAATTTCCCTGGAAATGGAAAACCGTCTGGAAAAGCTTTTTGACTCCTGTTGACTCGGCTTTATCAGACCTTTTCAATCAGGACAGACCTTAGAGAGTTCTCGGAAAACTATAACTCCCTAGAAAAGAACAATCGTTGCATAAACACAAAAAAAACTTGTTCTCTGAGAAAAATTGTCTTTTTCCTGGAATACAATGGGCGTTAGAAAAAATCTGACGTCACATTCGGATTCAGCCGGTAAAAATACGTACGAGGTTCCGTGTGTCGTACATCGGAGACATGTTTTAAACATTTTATACACTTGGATGCCGGGAGACCTTTAACACATATTTGGTCTCAGGAAAATCGGCTGTATCAGATAACTGGAGGGTGATGAAAATAATTGGAGGTCATATTCGGTTTTAGAAGTTCAAAATACGTAAACATCTCTCTACCAGGAGTCCGGAAAATTTTTAAAAATAAATTACAGGCATGGCAAAAACATGCCAAATTTGCTTGTATTTTCTCGGGAAAGAGTGATTTTTCCGAAGAGCTAAGAGATAATGAGAAAGGAAAGAGGATATTTTCGAACTTAGTGGTTTAACATACATTCAGAGTGATCTATCTCGTGTCTGACAAAAATTTTACCTACACATTTTCCGGGGGATACCAGTTGCAAAAACACCAAAAATGGTAAAAAATGCCCGTTTCGACGAAATTGGCTTTACCATAAAATTGAAGAGTGGTGGAGTAAAATCTAGGTCATTTTCGAACTTAACGTCTCGAAATACTCTGCATCTGTTCGCAAAAAGTTGTCTGGGAGATAATTTTTCATTGCATTCTTTGTGCACTGTGTAATTCGGTTGCTCCTAGATCCGCTTGGATCATTTCGATCCCCAGCGCTTGAAAAAACTGAAATCAAAGCTATGCCTCATCCAACGGATTTGAAACACACCTATGTATGTCCTTTAATTCAATACAATCATCATTCTTGCGTAACAAAAATTAGACCCGTTACAAAAATTTCATTTCATCCACAAAGTTTATTGCATTACCATAGAATATTCTAAAGCTTGAGAGGTGTTATCGATCTGCTTTTATCGGATTTCTTATGGAGTAACTATCTAAGCATCTTAACCGAAGACTTGCACATAAAATTCATCATTGCAGCAAAGTTCACGAAGTTTTTTCGTTCCCTCTCTGAAATCAACTTAAAATTCTGCTGGTATTCCATTCTGTCAAGAACTGTTAGGTTATGTTTTTATGGTCCAATTTTTAAGAATAAATTGATCGCAGGAGAATGCATTCCGACGTGGATCTGTAAAATCACCTATGGAGGGATGTGCCTAATTTTCAAGGACGTCTCACTGAAATTTCATTGCGTTTGAGCCTCGCTAGCTAGCCTTTCGTAAATTTGAGATATTTTCAAAGCATTTCATGTTGAAGCTTTGGTAATAATTTCCAATGGCAAAGATAAGAGTCTCGTTAATTGTACATTATTTTTTACTTTTGGAGGGCACACATAAAATATTACCAGGGACGTACACAAAATAATGTAAATTTACTGTCACGTTTTTGAATGGACCCTCCCCCCCCCCCTCTTTAAGAATTCCTAGCTACACCACTGATCATAACTATAATTGGATTGCATTTTGAAAAAAGGAACCAAGAGCATTCCAATGTCGCTAAGATTGTGCAACTTGGTTCACCTTGCAAATATAAACTTATCATTTGAACAATATTTATCTTTACTGTCTGAACTACTGTCTTAATTACTGTCTTAACTATAAATTCATGACGAAAATTACCTTAGTAAATTCAATTTTTTGCGTGATTCCAGTACAATCCTAGCAATGTTGAAATGCTCTGGTTCCTTTGTGCAAAATGCGATCCAATTTTAAGTGAGGTTCGATCAAGAAAAAATTGGGAATTCATACCAATTTGCTGTTCGTTGATGCCACGTATACCGAAAGATACTTGCACCATGAGGGAACTCGCTGCGTGAAAAACTATTTGCGGAAAAATACACGCTTCGGTTCAACAGCCTTCACATTTTTTTGGGCAGGTCCCATTCGTTGAAATTCGGCACAGTGCAGCGTTAGGCGCACTTGGCAGTTCCCCGAAAGGAGATTCCAATTTTAAAAAACAGACGGCCAGAGTGAAGGTCGTCCGGTAATTTCTCTACAGGTGTCCCTCGTGCATCATGCTGAAAAGCACGACTTACAAAACGTGGAAGAACTCTTACCCTTATCGTTCGCGTGACGAAAACCCGAAGAAAAATGGACCAAATTACCGTAAGACCGTAAGAACTACGATTATATGATTCTAATCAAAATGGGCCTGTTGCAAATTTTAGGTAGAGCAGAAGAAAATCAGTTATTTCTTATAGCTACTAACTCGAAAAACGCGAATGGTGCATCGGGAAAGTTTGAAATACACTCCTAACTTCACAATATGCATGAGAGATTATCCGTTTTTTAAGCTTTCCGCTTCGGAAACGATACTGCGGCATAAGTGAACATTTCGTTCCATTCAACTTGCAACAATGAGGTACGTAATATTCAACATGGCCGACGCCAACCCGCCAAAACGCACGCGACGAGACGGGACTTCATCGACCGGCGCACAGCGGATCGAGCCAATCAGAGAGGTTAGACATGAATTTTTAACTAGAAATGCAAATTTTGATGTCCCTGGTAAAAATTTGCGATAAGAGCTGCGTTTTAAAATACCATAGGAATTCTTATAGCCGGCTAAAGAAGGCTACAGAAAATCATATAGCTGGCTGTAGAATGCGGAGAAAATCATACGGCCGGGCTATACGAAGCGATAAAAAATTATGCAGCCGGGCTACAGTTCCTATCGCCGGGCTACAGTTCCTATCGCCGGGCTACAGTTCCTATCGCCGGGCTTTACACTTTATCGCCTGGCTGTTGCTTTTTCGCCATCGATTATAAAAGGTTATAAGAAATTGTGCATAAATTCGTGTGCTTTGGAAATCATTAAGTTTGATATAAACTACCTTAATGTTTACAAAACACACATTATATTTTCCTTTAATACATATTTTTTTTCATCAATTAAAATGAGTATAATCCATACAGGATGTGCAAACATTTCAAAATCATGAGTTGAATAACGTTGACTCCGCCAAATTAAATATTAGAGCCTAACACAAAGCGGAGCGGCGACGCACTAGCGCCTACAAACCTAACAGGGATACTTCACGCATTGCGCAACGCGTGAAGTATCCCTGTTAGGTTTGTAGGCGCCAATGCGCGTTTCGCGCTGGCTGCCCGCCTGCCACGGCGCTTGAAGCAACTATTTCATACCAGAGGTATTGCACAGTATCATACGAAACTGAAGGGGCTCTAATATATTAGGAATGGCAGGCATCCTTCAGAAGTACGGAGCTTTCCCCGCAAATTAAATCAAGATACTGCGGCCCTAAAAGAGAGCGGTAGTCCAAAAACTCACTATGTCCTAGCATCCGTAATTAGTTACGTTTAGCATACACTTTATCGCCTGGCTGTGAGTAGCTTAATCGCCATCGGCTGTAAAAGGCTACAAGAAATTGTGTAGCCGGCCATAGAAGCTATTGGAAATCTTACAGCCGGCTATAGGTCCATGGTATTTTGGAACACAGATTCTACTGCCAATTTTTACCAGGGGTTTTATTCGTCACATTTTAAATTTTAAGGGGTGTACGTAGGTAAAAATTTTACGAGGCAACCAATGGAACCGCTTTTAGAACCTGAAAGTTGTGGATAAACGGAGTTTTAAGCTTTCAAAGTTTTCAAATATTGTCCAAGCTCCCTCATTGACTCGATCTACTGAGCGGCGTAATATATCCGAGTTTGATCGTAGAGGGGTGCCATTGCATTAATCGAGGAGCCATTCCTACTTATACTCAACATTTTCCTTGCATTGATAAAAACCATGGTGCTTTCTCACGATTCGCGCCCGAAAGCATCAACCATGTGGGATTTTGCGTAGTATCCTAAATGCGCAAGGGTTGGATAAAACGACTCCTCTTAAGAAAAAAACGCATATTTTTTACATAGATTGTGAAATTAAGAGTATATATTCCAAACTTTCTTGGTGCGTCATTTTTGAGCCATTCTTTATGAGAAATAACTCCTTTTTGTGCTCTACGTGAAGTTTGCAACAAGCCCATCGTAGGTATTTCTGGCTTTGATTTTCCCTCAAAACCAGTGTGAATCTAGCACAGAGTAGTTTCACTGTCGTATTATTTACTCACACCAATGCATTTCATAAAAAAGTCATAAACGACGAGAACTTGATTCCGTCATGTGCAAAATTTAACTTTTCTACTAGAGGTTACAAGAGATTGTGGTTGAGAAGTATTTTGATAGAGACTTACCGGATGGACGGATGTTACTTTCCAAATTATCAGCCATTGTATCAGCCACTTTAATTTCATTGTTTTCGAGATAAGGCTCTGTGGTTAGGATATATTCAGTTTTGCTTCGTGCTTACTTAACAATCTACGGAGACAAAAAAAAATATAAGTTTTGAGAAAATATTTTCTCCCAACAGCGACATTGAACCGATTATTTTTAAAATCGAGTAAGCGCCAATTTCTATCTTGGAGGTAGAGGGGTTGTTTTTTCTTTGTTTTCTCTGGTATAATCAGTCATGTCTGATTTTAAAATAGCCTTCTAAAAGAACATGCATTTTTTAGAAGATTGTCAAAAAAGCGAATAAAAGGGTTTTCTTGTTTTTTTTTCTCCCATTCGCAAATTTGGCGCGTACGTGATTTGGAAAATAATCGGTTCAATTATCACGAAGCTTTTTTGCTGGTCAAAAAAAAGACGAAAAATTATCAATGTACCCCAGCGAAAGGCATGGTGATCGTTGTCAGTTTAAATTGCGTTTCTGTACCTCTTAATCTAAAAGGGTCAGAGACAATAGGTCCTTATGTCTCAGATGGACATATTTCTGTCAAACGGAACTATGTGCATTATGACGTGAGCCCTGCTATGCACAATTTTTATGGGTCTCAGGGCTCATGTCTTGAGGCACATAGTTCCATTTGATAGAAATACCTCCAGATAAATGAATGTCCCACGAGTAACGAGGTGGCGAGGTGGGATGTTTTATAAAGATTGCTGATTTGAAGAGGATTTGGTGATGATTTCTTATTTTTAAATTCTTGCTTCTTATAAATAAGTTTCATGTATTGTTACGTGACATTTTTTCTTATCTTTAGGTATTGCAATGACCAACCATAATGAGGAAGATGGTGTTCAACACCTCTACTCTCTATTCTCTATATCGACGGTGAAAGTCGGCAATCACATAACTCGTTTGCGGTGTCTGAAAATCTCCGCCTCTACGTCATTTTTTTAAAGGAGAACAAATTGATATTATTTCTTGAAGTTTTTGCAGAATTTTCTTCGCATTGAGAAGAAAAATCATGACAGTTTTAAAGAATTGCCGTTGAGTAGTTTTCCATTTAAAAAATAAAGTATGACAGGAAGTCTGCGACGTCGCAAACCGAGTTATGTGATTGCCGACTTTCACCGTCGATATGTTAATGGAGCTTGGAGAATGATGTGTAGCTAATACAACTGCGTTTGATTTGCTCAGTGAAATCAATGCAAACTTCGTTTCAACAAACTCACTGTCTTTTTGGATGAAAAGGAGGTGTTTAAACCCAATCCAATGATAATGAAAGAATCTTCATTTCTCCAGTTGTGTGCTTTGGAAGTAGAAATAAATATTCGAGAGCAATTCTGTTCTTTTAATTTATTGAGCTGCAGGTAAAAAGTCAGCGGTTTGATGTAATCTCCCAAATAACAAGTAATAACGTTTCGCTGCTAAAAATAATAATTTAAAAGGGCAAAATTCATCTTCTGCAGTTGGAACCCGTAATGCAGGATTCCATCCAGTAGCAAGTAAGAAACACAAATATTCACTACGATCTAAATAACATTGATCACTGCATCACAGGAAAGAGTGATTACTTTACGCCTGAATGTGTAATTACCTTCAAATTCTTCTCCCAAGAAACTCCGAGATCCGACAATGTGTAACAGTGGGGCACATATTTAAATGGATGCATTTTTATTAGTATTAAGCAGTATTTCATGCAAATTGAATGACAGTCGTAAAGGTAAACAAATATCGAAATTGGAAAGACGGCAAGAGATACCTCCAAAATGATAGTCTCGTAACTCGCAGCCGAAAGTTGAACTTGGGAGACAACAGAGAACGAAACCGAAGAGTGACCCTCCTTGGAGGATGGAAAATCAAAACAGCTTAGGAGACTGCTGGAAGTCTGAGACTGCTCATGTTCTGGAATTGAGCTCAGCAAAAATTCAACGTCACTAAAATGTTTCTACGGATCAGGGTGGAATATTTCAGAGTTTCCTTGGAAATTTTAAAAGCACCTAATGCGACAAAAAAGAGGAAAAAAAGAAAAAAGAGGAAGATCTGAGACTCGACGCACATGCACAACTGTTACAAATCAGATCCGACGCACATTTCCCTGCTACCAAAGGCTGCACTTTCCCGCGCTACGTACAACACCATTTTTTCCAAGTCCGATAAAGCTTTTTTTGCAGTCGATCCTTGTCACCATGTCACCGCACCATTAATGTTACCCATCAAGTACAGTTTCAATGCCAACTCAACGAAGTAGCATGTGCGTCAAAGCTGCGTTGGTGGGGATCTCTGTGAGGAAATTCTACAAGTCGACGGTGTAAGTCGACAATCACATATCTCAACAAGCAGGCTCATTAAAAATTTCGCAGACAAGGTAACATGGGTTCTGTAAGGAAGTGTTTAAAATAAAATATTTTTATGACATTTTCATCGCATATTTTCATACCTGGACCAACGATATTAAGATCTAGAGATTGGTGGTGGCCTAAAAGACGCTTAAGGTGATTCAATGGACGCCATATTTTGTGTCAGAACGGCATGCGATACATCGCATCAATTGGTTCCATTTTTTCGGCTACTAGTAATTTTTCTCCAATTATGAGATCGAAATTCTGTTGTCAAGAGACTAAAGCACTCACTTACCAATTTTAACGAAGATATTAAACGTAATAAAGGCGTGGTTTTTTTAGAGAGAAAATATCGCTTTCGAGTGCAGTTTCGATATCGGTATCGAATGCGATATTTACTCTCTAAAAATCCACGCTTTTATTACGTTGAATTTCTTTGTTAAAATTGGTAAGTGAGTGCTTTAGTCTCCTGACAACAGAATTGCGATCTCAAAATTGGAGAAAAATTACGAGTAGCTGAAAAAATGGAACCAATTGATGCGATATATCGCATGCCGTTCTGACACAAAATATGGCGTCCATCGAATCGCCTTAATATAATTGCGACAATATTATGTTTTGATTGTGTAAATAATTCAAAGATAAATAAAATGAAAACAAATAAATCAAACTCATAAATCTTAATAGAGGGTAAAGGGTTCCACTGATAAAAATATAGGCATAGTCGAATGAAAAGCATTGTTTATTCAAATATATAAACTTTCTGGAAAAAAATATATTAAGCATCCTCGTTTTCTTTAGTAGTAACAAAATCAACTTTAACAGGGTTTTAGGACATATATGTCTAAAGCTTTCCGACGTCTTCCATGTTAAGATTCCGGAATCCTTACTTTCCTAAAATTTAAAAACGATGAAGCTCAAAGCTTAATAAGCTGATGGGCTCAGTGCTCAGCGTTTTTGCAAAGTTGTGATTCCTGATTTTAAACCTAAAGGGCTCGTACAGATATTGATTCAATATCAAATGAAAGAGATCCGAATGCGTTTGAGGCATTTACGCTCTAAAATCCGATGAAAATTGATTTATTCACTGCTGAGCACTCTTACTTACAGGGCTTAATTTGCTGACTTCAATTTACTTTTACAACTCTTATGAAGTTCGTGTTTTCGAGAATAATTCTGCCGTGATAGCGAAGAGAGTAGTAAGTGCAAAAATGAAGTTTTGAGAAAACGGGCTAGGAGACTTCTGGCCGGAAAATTTTATTGAAAGAAGCCTCCATTCTTATTCAAATTGCCCTTAATCATCGGAAATACTCAAAGAAATTATTTGGTGGATTAATAAAAGGGGAATATTTCATTTTCATGTTAGACTAGTGATAGGCAAGGAAGCCGTAAGTACTAACATGTACTTTCGCGGTTGCGTTTAGAATACACGACTAACACATTTTCAGGTTAGAAATCGGCAGAATAGGACAGCACTTTACTTGAAAGCACTGATCGGCTCTCTGGAGGAATAATGTCTTTAGGAACATAGGAAGAATGTGTTTTACTGTCAGAGACTACGCCATTGTTTGTGCACTTTGGATTTCACATATGTCTCGTTTTCATGAAATTAAGATGCATTTTGCTGTTTAGTTACTTCAGTGATTTCATCATCTAAAAGAGATTAGACGAATTCTGAAGGAAACTCGATTTCGAAAATTCGACACTTACTCTGCCGTGCTAAGGAAGAACGCCGTATGAACATTCAGGCGTTGCCAACTTTCCTTCGATAAAACCCGAATTTACTAGGAAAGTTGCGCATATTATTTTCCAAAGTTTTCAGACAATTTTGTACGCAATTTAATCTAAAATATCTGAAAATGTCAAGGAAAGATATGCATGGATGTTGTCAAAAATGCAGGTTTTATCAAGGGAAATTTGGCAACGCTCGAATGCTCATACGGCGTTCTTCCTTAGCACGGCAGTACTGCTCTCCGCTATCACGGCTGAATAGCGGACCGCAGCCTTTGGTAATCCGTAAGGTCCCTTGCGACAAGGCTCGCGCGAATAAAAATACCCTTTAACTCCAGTTGGAGGCTTATTCCGATTCCCATGCGTGGATATGACGATAACGAGGCGTCGGTTCTTGTCACGTCAGCTTTCAAGATCAGGCCCCAGAGGTACATTCGTGAGTAGATGCCCCGATCAACCCTCGGAATATTCGAGGATAGTTGCGTCGGGGGAAAGGGGTGCCGTCGTAAGCGAGGAAGTTTCGATTTCGACCCCCTACTTAAAAACCAGCTCACAAGTTGCGGAGGGAGAGTTGTAGAGCTTGCGTGAGGATTCCCGGGAAAATTTACGAACTTACGTGCTTTACACACAATCGACTCGCTTTTCAGCAGGTCGCCCGCGTTGTCGAATCAGATTCTCCCCCCACCATGTTGCAATCAAGGAATGAAACTGACTGCCCGCAAAGGTGAGGCACAAACTGGGGGAAATATTCATGTTCGCGTGTTACTTTCCGTTAGTATAGTCCTGGATATACGCTCAAATTCCCGTCAATTTCCAATCAAAATGATGCAAAAAATGGCGGAGCGTGTTGATTGAAATAAGCACGAAATAAGCGCGGTCGTGTGGAGATCAGATGACGGATGAGACCCACGGTTCCATCATCTACCAATCAAATTTTTGCAGGCCTCAAAAAATTGATGGTGGATGGTGCGCACTAGTGACCCTTTGATCGGAAGTTGATGGAAATTTGAGCGTGTATTCGAGCCTCTGAGGAAGTGACATAGAGACTAATGTAAATTTTTTACACTGACGGCGGTACAATTTGAGTTGATTTTAGCACAAAAAGCAATGAGACAAACTAGAGTACCTTCATGAGGAGAGTACAAACATGTCGGAGACCTTGATAAATTTTGTATTGACGTCAGTACAATTTGAGTTGATTTTAACACAAAAAGCAATGAGTCAAACTAGAGTACCTTCATGAGAAGAGTACAGACATGTCGGACATTTTGATACTGACGTCAGTACGATTTGAGTTGATTTTAGCACAAGAAGCAATGAGACAAATTTAGAGGACCTTCACGAGGAGAGTACGGATAAGTCGGAGATTTTGATATTAGGCCTACTCAGGAAGTTTAGTACCTTTTATGTGTAAAGTCTGCGTTTCATCCTTCCTGCAGGCTGATTGTCGAAATTTGTAGAGGCAGCTATAGACAAATAAGACAAAAGTGATATGGAGGGATCCTATTGGTGAAAGCGGGTGGTTGCAATGGACAAAGGACGTGGGTGATAGACTAACTAACGGCAACCCACGAGAGACCCGATAATACATTAGTCCATCATTTTCTCCCTTAGTCTATAAGAACCTCCCGTTTCCACCTACAGGATCGCTTCTTACTCTCTATGTCTTCTTTGTCTATCAATTTCAATAATTAGTCCGCTGGGCGGCGACTGTAAGCTTTTTCATAATCGATCAAAAAGGTCTTCGGTTGTAAAGACGGTTTAACTTTGCTGATGCGCGAAACATCCCAGCTTACGTGTCTACCATTTTATCGAGGAGCAGTGCAAAGGCATATGGCAATTCTGCTGAGTATTGCACAGCACTGCCGTGATAGCGAAGAGAGCAGTAAGTGCATTTCTGTATGAGCCACGGTCAGCACATGCTTTTATGAGTCTCGAGGTTCATACCATGCATGCACTTACTGCTCTCCTCGCTATCACGGCAGTGCGGCTCGATTGTTGAATCGATATCGAATGACCATGATCGATAAAAACTTTTGCTAGGATACGGATCTATCGATCAGGATCATTCGATAACGATTCAATGATAGAGCCGCTGCCGTGATAGCGAAGAGAGCAGTAAGTGCATTTCTATATGAGCCACGGTTAGCACATGCTTTTGTGTCTCGAGGTTCATCCCAGCATGCACTTACTGCTCTCCTCGCTATCACGTCAGAGCGGGAATTGTATAAAATTGTGTTTGGATAATCGCTCACTAGATAACGCAGGTTTACTTGCCGCCAGCGTTCCGCTTGCTCAAGTCTCGGGCTGGTTTTCACGACCTCTCGAGCTTGGTAGCAGGAAAGCCAGGAGGCTGCACTGAATTGAAGGAATGGTGCACAAAGGGTCAAACGCGTCTGGTTTTGCCTTCTTGAATGGACGCAACTAGTATTGTAGCAGGTAGCATATCTCTTTGAGGGCAAACTGCGTGTTTTTATGGACTTTTTCCCTCTGTATTGAAAGTTTCAACTTTAGGCTGACTTTTTTACGCACGTTGGTAAAAACCTCCAACATGCAATCGGACGTATTTGTGCCAAACGGAACTATGTGCATTAAGACATGAGCCCTGTTATGCATATGTCCTTATGGGTCTCAGGGCTCATACCTTAATGCACATAGTTCCGTTTGGTAGAAATACTTCCAATTGTATAAACCTGCTCGAACAACGGAGGAGCTGAGTGACAGGCACCGTCACCAAACCGATGCTCACAATTCGCCATGAGCTCTAAGTTCTCATTCGTGAAAATGACAATGCGCTCACTCACTAAACCACTATCATACATAAAAAATGGTCGGCCGGAATTTTTTGAATTCCGGCGGGATTTCTAAATCCTCCTTCGCGGATTTGAATGCGAATGGATTTGAAAAACTCTCGTGTTGCACGCAAGTTCTACGATCCGTTTTTTTCATTGAAGGAACTTTCG